TATCATCAGCAGGTAACTGTCGTTGGTGTTTAGGCATGGGACCAGAATTGGTCCGATGCGGAACTGGCCGGCGATTCGAAAATTGCGCACCGTAGAGGGAGAGGCCGGAAGCATAGTCAAAGGAGAGCGGAGGTCAGATAAATCAAAGGAGTCAGTCGAGACCTCAGTACCTGAAGCGGGTGAGGAAACAGCACCGGCAAGAGGTACAGAGGCATGAGGAGTGTCAGAAGAGTGGTCCAAAGACGAGGCGGGGTCAGAATGGGGTGCGGTATCAAGAAGGGGCCCGGGGGTACCAGGTTCATGGATTGGGTTCTCCATGGTTAGGTTACTTCTTTCTTTTTGTTTTTAAGAAAAAAAAAGAAAGAAGAAAAGAAAATAAAAATAAAAAAAAGAATAAAAAAACGGGGGGGACTGGGGAGGGATAGTTCCTAGGAGGAATGAAAGGGCCAGAAATCTCCCTCCGCGCCCAAGAGGACCTCAGCACCGCAAGTAGCGTAGATGCAGCATGGAACCTGTGCCATACCCTACCCATCATGCCAGTAAACTAGCAATCCGGGATAGCAACCTCACATCTGCCGCGCTACCTCGGTGGACAAAAGAGAGGGCGGCCGGATATCCGCCACAAAGCATACCTCCTTCAGCCACCACCCTGGAATCCGAAAGGTGGCTTTCAGAGATACACCCGTCGCCTGAAAGACACCCAAAGCCACTCTCCGGGATACCGGAGAGGGATTGGGACATCCCCAGGCGATCCAGACTCCATGGCAAACTACGCCACCGCCAAGAACCTCAACGGAATGGGATGGACCCTGGTACCCTTTCCCCTACCTAGGAACTAGCGCGTCTGTGGGAAAAATCCCAAAGGCCAAAAAGAGGAAGGGGAAAAGGGAGGGGTGGGGAGGGGGAGGAGGAAAGGGAAAAGGGGAGGATGGGATAGGGAAGGGGGATTGGGGGGTAATTAGGTTCGGTCTGAGGAAGGAGACCGACAGGTCTAATTCCTCAGACCAAGAGCCTCTTCACCATGCCAAGGAGCCCCCCTTAAAGAGGAGAATGTAGGATTGCAGATGAGCAAGGAGGTTTCAGAGTGGGTAGGGGATGTGTAGATCAAGTGTTTACATTGAAGCATATATGTGAACAGTATTTAGATAAAGGTAGGGAAGTTTTTATTGCTTTTATGGATTTAGAAAAGGCATATGATAGAGTGGATTGGGGAGCAATGTGGCAGATGTTGCAAGTATATGAAATAGGTTGTAAGTTACTAAATGCTGTAAAGAGTTTTTATGAGGATAGTGAGGCTCAGGTTAGGGTGTGTAGAAGAGAGGGAGAATACTTCCCGGTAAAAGTAGGTCTTAGACAGGGATGTGTAATGTCACTGTGGTTGTTTAATATATTTATAGATGGGGTTGTAAAAGAAGTAAATGCTAGGGTGTTCGGGAGAGGGGCGGGATTAAATTATGGGGAATTAAATATAAAATGGGAATTGACACAGTTACTTTTTGCTGATGATACTGTGCTTATGGGAGATTCTAAAGAAAAATTGCAAAGGTTAGTGGATGAGTTTGGGAGTGTGTGTAAAGGTAGAAAGTTGAAAGTGAACATAGAAAAGAGTAAGGTGATTAGGGTATCAAATGATCTAGATAAAGAAAAATTGGATATCAAATTGGGGAGGAGGAGTATGGAAGAAGTGAATGTTTTCAGATACTTGGGAGTTGATGTGTCAGCGGATGGATTTATGAAGGATGAGGTTAATCATAGAATTGATGAGGGAAAAAAGGTGAGTGGTGTGTTGAGGTATATGTGGAGTTAAAAAAATGTTATCTATGGAGGCAAAGAAGGGAATGTATGAAAGTATAGTAGTACCAACACACTTATATGGGTGTGAAGCTTGGTTTGTGAATGCAGCAGCAAGGAGGCGGTTGGAGGCAGTGGAGATGTCCTGTCTAAGGGCAATGTGTGGTGTAAATATTATGCAGAAAATTTGGAGTGTGTAAATTAGGAGAAGGTGCGGAGTTAATAAAAGTATTAGTCAGAGGGCTGAAGAGGGGTTGTTGAGGTGGTTTGATCATTTAGAGAGAATGGATCAAAGCAGAATGACATGGAGAGCATTTAAATCTGTAAGAGAAGGAAGGCGGGGTAGGGGTCGTCCTCGAAAAGGATGGAAGGGGTAAGGGAGGTTTTGTGGGCAAGGGGCTTGGACTTCCAGCAGGCATGCATGAGTGTGTTTGATAGGAGTGAATGGAGACAAATGGTATTTGGGACCTGACGATCTGTTGCAGTGTGAGCAGGGTAATATTTAGTGAAGGGATTCAGGGAAACCGGTTGTTTTCATATAGTTGGACTTGAGTCCTGAAAATGGGAAGTACAATGCCTGCACTTTAAAGGAGGGGTTTGGGATATTGGCAGTTTGGAGGGATATGTTGTGTATCTTTATACGTATATGCTTCTAAACTGTTGTGTTCTGAGCACCTCTGCAAAAACAGTAATTATGTGTGAGTGAGGTGAAAGTGCTGAATGATGATGATGAAAGTATTTTTCTTTTTGGGGATTTTCTTTCTTTTTGGGTCACCCTGCCTCGGTGGGAGACGGCCGACTTGTTGAAAAAAAAAAAAAAAAGTCTCCTGGACTTGAAGGGACCATTGTATTGGAACTCGAGGGACCACTGTATTGTATTAACCCGTAAGCAGTCCAAGCAGATCTATATTCACATGTGTAGTGCTACAAAAGTAGATCTAAGTTTTTTTTACATATTTTCAAATACACCAAAAAAAAAAAGTAAATCAAAGTTTTTTTACACATTTTCATATGTAGAAAAACAAGAAGATCTACTTTTTTTACATACTTTCAAATGTTGAAAAAACGTATATATACGTTTGGACTATTTACAGGTTAACATTGTACTACTATGTATAGCACCATCACAGGCTTTGAGGATATGCTTTGTGAATTTGCTGTATATAATCCCACTTTAATTAGGAATCTTATATACATAACTTACATTAGCAGTATGTGATCAGTGGGGGTTCACAAAACAGTGAAGATTAGGTACTGATGACCTGTTTGAACTTTATGCAGGCCATAACAGCTGTACTGAGGGACAGCTGTATTACTTATCTAGACATGCTATTAATTTCCCCTCATGAAGTGCCTTGATGCTGGTGAGGGGCTCTAATTAAAGGAATAAAACTTTTCCTCCCTTTCCCTGGACTGAACCTGAATGCCTCCCATTCCCTAAGCAATAAATGACCCCTACAAGTTTAGCATTTCACCCAGATTAAAAAAAAATGAATATTAGTTTAATGTTATTCCTACCCTGAGGAACAAGCAATACTATGTTTTTATTTTTAGAAATGCTATACAGTATTTCCAAAAGCTTAAATATTAGTGAGCAAATTTTAGGAAAGAATAGTTTGGTGACTTATGAGAAGTTTGGTCATGTTTCAAGGACAATTCTTTTAGTGCTCTCCAAATGTCATTAAGTCCTAGTTCACATTTGAGAACTTTCTTTTACAGTAAAATGCACAAATTATGCATTTTTCCCTGCCGATGTATCAAATGTATATTCTATGTACAAGTACTGTATATACAAATAATTTTCAATGGTGATCTGCTTCCAAATACAGTATAAAATAATCCTAATTTGAGGCTTTTGAGTGAAAAATCCAATACAGACAACTAGCTCCAAGCATTTCAAGCACTACTGCAATACAAGTTTTGATAACTAAAGATTCAACTGCACAATTTACACTAGTAAATATTCACAGCAGTAGGTCTGCTATAAAGCACCAGGTGAATTATCACAGAAAATGTCAACCATTCACTCTATGCACAGTTTCTACTCTGTGAAGTTTGTAGCTGTTGATTCCTCGTGTGTCATCTCGTGTTCTTTCCCCACCACATTCACCCAACAGTTTTTCTCTGCCTACCCTCACACTTTTAAACCTTCAAGTCTTTAGTATCTATTCCTCATGATACAGAAAATTTCATATTAGTCTTACTTTGCCTTTTCCTGTTATCTTCTGCTTACATCTGCTTTATTTGCTGCACTAAGAAAATGTGAGATGTGATGTACTTCAGTTACAACTTTGCATGGATTATAATATGTACTATGTAATGGCTTAAACTCCTGTGAGTTTTACCCCAAATGCTAGACAGACTAAGGTCTTCATAATACAACATCCTCAAATTCCTTGAATCAAGCCTAAATGCCTTCCATTCCTCAAAGCACTGTATGACCCCTATGGGTTTAGTGCCCCCCCCCCCATGAATGTAAAAACATCCTCATTTAATTACTTTTTCTCTAAATTCTTAACAAATTTATTTTAATTTTTTTTAAAACATCAGCCATCTCCCACAGAGGTAAAATAGTGCAAAAATGTATGTCAACATACTAATACTTTCAGAACTCTGAATCAAACATATACTAATAACCTAACATGTTAAATTAAAACTGGAATGATTAAATTTATAGTCTTCACATGTAATTGGGAATGTTTCTGTAAAAGACAATGTCTCAATCTGCTTGGAGAGAAAATATTAATTGAAAGCAATTATAAAACAGTACAATGAATATTAGTAGCATTATGGACCAACAGGAGACAACCTATTACAAATATAAAATATACAGTGATGCAGAAACCTTCCTGTCACTCAAACAGGAGATCTGCATCACAACAGTAATATTACCACTACCTAAAGTGTTAGCTGCTATAAGAATGCAAGTAAATAAAAAATTACACAAAAAATTACCTGATGTGTCTATACTATACTAAGTGTCACAGGCAAACATCAAATATTTTAACATGAGCTGTAATGATTGTATCATTAAAAAAGTTAACATTGTTTACTTTCCCAAGTCTTTCCTTTAAGAATACTTAACTGGCTCTCTTGTATATGCTACTAATTATTTAGTTGTCAACTGGCAGAAAGAGAGTATATTTTATTAAAAATTATGTACAGGAATCTATTCATGTCTAACCTTACCTAACAAATTGAGAAGAATAACTATACCTGCATTTGAGTATTTTGTGACTTTTTACACACATTAATACATCATAGTTCACTGAATTTTTTTACAATCTGTAAATGCCTTCATTTCTGAAAAATGGTTAGACCCTTCAAATACTTAATACTTTTAATTTTGTTTTGTACCTAGTGATGTGCTAATGGGTAGAGTGTTTTATACGTTCCTGATAAGCATCAAATGCTTCCTCTTGATATTCTTTAGCTGCTGCAACTGGATCACTGGCCTGTGTGATCCCCCGTCCAACAATAATGATGTCAGCACCTCGTTCAAGGATGGCTGATCTAGGAGTCACATACTGAAAATACAACATAATACGTACACTAATCGTGGGCTCAAAATGCTATTAATTATAATATACAAATCAACATAAGTCACAAGACCTTGGCTGGAACAATTCACAATTAACCCCAGGGGGCAGCTTCATAAGTCTGCTTTATAGGAGGGGCTTAAGGATAGCAATCTGGAAGAGGAGGTTAGAGGACTTGTCTTGAAGCAGCATTTTTTAATTTAGAGGGCTGATGGAACTTTCCAAAGGGCTTCAGGTTTCCTTGCCAGCCCCTGACTAACCACAAATTGGAGACAAAATTAGACAGTCTTAAGTTTAGAATAGACTGAAATATCATCTAGTTCCATATTCATTGTTTGGGTTAGTTAAGGCTGTGTCAACATGTTTCTTTTCACATACAAGTGATCCTCCATTCCAGGTATGAAATGAAGAGATATCAGAGCACATTATTTAATAACATTATTTGTATGCAAAACACTGCTCTTTGCATGTCATTTAATATTCTGTTATTTCTGAAGAGAGATGTACAAACTAGTAATTATGCCAGCATTACAATGCTTGACACATGTCTGCACCATACAGTGTATTTACTGTACTTAGCTGGATCAAAATGGTTCAAAGCACCCCTTCCATTCACATAAAAAAAAAAAAAAAATAAATGGGTTCTTCCACATAGCTAAAATGTTTTACCATTATTAAATGTCAGTTTGCAGCACTACTACTAATTTCTCTGAAACATTTAAAAGATTGAACACTTATGAATCTTGAAATGCTTCTCTAAATTGTGCAATAAGCACTACTGATTAAACCTGTGACCAAACCCAAGCAAGACACCACCATACTAAGTGCAAAACTCATCTCATTTCATTTCATGTCTATATTTAGTTACTCTGTTATACACAACATGTATCTTTGTTAAATTTAGTAAAAAGTTGGAACATGTTAGGACTTTAATGCCAAAAACTTACAAATTTAAACCTCCATACAAAATAATCTAACCTGCTGTCCTAGTCCATCCCCAGTTTTACCCAGCCGCACGCCTGGTGTAAAGAGGATGAATCGTGGGTCACCACTTTTGCTGCTCTGTGACACAAAACCCACAACAAAGTATGTGTGGTTCTCTGCCATCTTGCTGCAATCTAAAAAAAAAAAAAAAAAAAAAAAAAAAAAATATTTATTACTTTGGCCATGCATATCTTGCGGCAAGATAAATTACTAAATTTAAAAAAAAAAATTCTCTTTTTCTTTTTAGGTCACCCTGCCTTGGTGGGATATGGGCAGTTTGTTAAAAAAAAAAAATTTTTTTGCAAGAAAATATCAGACTGCCTTAGTTGTGGTACTGGCTATTCCTATTACAATTACAGTTCCCACAGTTATAGAAGCAGTACTATGCTGGTGTTGTGTACTTCCATAAAATGTTTAAATAACTGCAGCTCATACAACAGCAGGGCAAACTATTCAAATTTATTTTATGATTAGTTATCTACACATCTGGAGAGCCACGTTTATTATACAGGTAACTCACAAAATCGTAATAACATGATTGTAAACTGGCCAGGAGCCTTAGGACTTGCTTGCCATGGGTCTAAGCCCTATCTATCTGGGAAATCAGTCTTGATTAATGCATCCTTATCATTCATGTTTGAGTTCCTTGTCTGTGTGTTACTACTGCAATGCAAGTCATGCTCACAAAACTTATACTAAACCTTGAAGGATATCCAGAATTCTGCATTTTGGGAAAATCAAGAATTCTTTATTTCTGTTAGGAAAACTACAATAATTTAAAAACATTACAAATAAAAGACTGCTTTCTAAATTTGTTATTAAAACTGGTACTGTACAATGCTAACTAGAACATTCAAGTTATTAGCCTGTATCACGATAATTTAGAAGCCGGAACTTTCTAAATAAGAGTAAAATTACGAATTTTAAATTATCATTCAAATAAATCCAACTTGCATTATTCTGAATTTTATTTAATCTGGACATCCTCGGAGAAATCTGTGTTTTGAATATGAGATTACACCCAGCCCATAAAAATAAGAAATTTTCAAATACTAACTTTTTTAAACTGATGCCTTGGGGAAAAATTTAAATTTAAAATTGTTCATTTTTTTTTTGTGATGCCTATTTTGGGTTTTTAGGTGAAAAAACCCCTAAATAAAAAATCAACTAGCAACACAACCCCACCAGCACCCTTTGAACCCAAAAACCCCAAGCCAGGGGAAATATCGGGTGCCCTGGGGGGCCCGGGGGGCCCTGGATTTTGAATTTGACCCAAATTAAAAACCAAGCTATATAAAAAAAAAAAATTTGTATTTGCATCTGCAGTGAGGGGAAAACCATATTTTTATGACAATGAGAAAACCCTTCCCCTTTCAACATAATTTTAAAGCTACTGGCTACTGATGGGATAAAAATTAAAATACAAGTCAAAACTGATGATATTAGGAAAATCAGCAATTAAAAAGGATGTTAAAAACCTTTACTTTCAACATATTCTTAGAAAAAAGGGGCCTCCTAAAGGAACTCATCGGGGACACTAAGACACACCCGGGGGTTTGCCCCCCAAAATTAGCAGACACAAAAACCGGGCCAATTGATAATAATAAGTTAATAAAAAAGATAAAAAATTTTAAATTTAAAAAAGTAAAATTTTTCCCACAAAAACTTGTTCTTATTCTTTTAGAGGAAAAACCCCCCAAAACCCCCCGGGAGGCCATGGACTGTCACAAAGGGGCCCCTTTTTAATTTTTTTAAAAAAATTTTTTTGGGGGGGCCCCCTCCAAAATTTTTTTTTTAAAAAATTTTTAAAAAAAAAAAAAAGGGGGAAAAAAAGGGGGGGTTTTTTAAAAAAAATATTTGTGTATATATTTTTTTTTTTTATTTTTTTTTTTTTTTTTTTTTTTTTTTTTTTTTTTTTTATTTTTAAAAAAACCCCCCCCGGGGGGCCCCCCCCCCCTGGGGCCCCCCCCCGGGGTTTCCCCCTTTCCCCCCCCCAATTAAACCCCCCCCCCCCCTTTAAATTTTTAAAAAAAAAAACCAAAATTAAAACCCCTTTTTCCCTTTCCCCCCAAAAAAAAAAACCCCCCCGGGGGGGAAAAAATTTCCCCCCCCCCCCCCCCCCCCCCCCCCTTTTCCCTTTTTTCCCCAAAAAAAAACCCTTTTTTTCCCCTTTTTTAACCCCCCCCAACAACCCCACCCCCAAAAAATTTTTCCCCCCCCCTTTCCCCCCCCCTTTTTTTTCCCCCCCCCCCCCCCCCCCCCAGGGCCCCCCCCCCCCCCTTCCCCCAAAAAAAAAACCCCCTTAACCCCTTTTTTTTTTCCCCTTTTTAAAACCCCCTTTCCCCAAAAAAAAATTTTTTAAAAACCCTTTTTTCCCCCCCTTTTTCCCCCAAAAATTTAAAACCCAAAAATTCCCCCCCCCCCCCTTTTTCCCCAACCCCCCCAAATTCCCCCCCCTTTTTTTTCCCCCCCCCCCCTTTTTTCCCCCAAAAATTTTTCCTTTTTTTAAATTTTTTTTTTTTTTTTTTTTTTTTTTTTTTTTTTTTTTTTTTTTTTTTTATTTTTTCACCCCCGGCCGTTTCCCCCCCCCCCCGGGTGGCCCGAAAAAGAAAATTTTCACCCACACCCCCTCAATACGTCTTGCCAAAAGGGTGCTTTAAAACCCATTTTTTTAAACTGCAACATTAAACCCCCCCTTAGAGTGAGGCATGTCTTCCCACCCCGGGGGGACTCAACCCCGGCCTGCCGGTTTCCCTGAACCCTTCATAAATGTACTTTGTCACCCCAACAGCACGTCAAGTATTAAAAACCATTTGTTCTCATTCACTCCTATCAAACACGCTCACGGCATGCCTGCTGGAAGTCCAACCCCCTCGCACACAAACCTCCTTTACCCCCCCTCCAACCCTTCCTAGGCCGGACCCCTACCGCCTTCCTTCCACTACAGACTGATACACTCTTGAAGTCATTCTGTTTCGCTCCATTCTCTCTACATGTCCAAAACCACCTCAACAACCCTTCCCTCAGCCCTCGGGGACAACAGTTTTGGTAATCCCGCACCTCCTCCTAACTTCCAAACTACGAATTCTCTGCATTATATTCACACCACACATTGCCCTCAGAATGACATCTCCACTGCCCCCAGCCTTCTCCTCGCTGCAACATTATCACCCACGCTTCACCCCCATAAAAGAGCGTTGGTAAACTATACTTCATACATTCCCCTCTTTGCCTCCAAGGACAAAGTTCTTTGTTCCACAGACTCCTAATGTGCACCACTCACTCTTTTTCCCTCATCAATTCTATGATTCACCCCATCTTTCATAGACCCCTCCGCTGACACGTCCATCCCAAATATCTGATACGTTCACCTCCTCCATACTCTCTCCCTCCAATCTGATATTCAATCTTTCATCACCTAAACTTTTTGTTATCCTCATAACCTTACTCTTTCCTGTATTCACCTTTAATTTTCTTCTTTTGCACACCCTACCAAATTCATCCACCAATCTCTGCCAACTTCTCTTCAGAATCTCCAAGAGCACAGTGTCATCGGCAAAAGGCAGCTGTGACAACTCCCACTTTGTGTGTGATTCTTTATCTTTTAAAATCCACGCCTCTTGCCAAGACCCTCGCATTTACTTCTCTTACAACCCCATCTATAAATATATTAAACAAACCCCGGTGACACACACATCCCTTTTCTAAGGCCCACTTTTACTGGGAAAAAATTTCCCTCTTTCCCACATTTCTCTAACTTGAGCCTCACTATCCTCGTAAAAAACTCTTCATGCTTCAGTAACCTACCTCCTACACCCAAAACTTGCAACATCTGCCACATTGCCCCCTATCCCCCCTGTCATACGCCTTTTCCAAATCCATAATGCCACAAAGACCTCTTTAGCTTATCTAAATACTGTTCACTTATATGTTTCACTGTAAACACCTGGTCCACACACCCCTCCCTTTCCTAAACCCTCCTTGTTCATCTGCTACCCTATTCTCGTCTTACTTTTAAATTCTTTCAATTATAACTTTTACCATACACTTTACCAGGTACACTCAACAGACTTATCCCCCTATAATTTTTGCATCTTTTTTATCCCCTTTCCCTTTTCCCAAAGGAACTATGCATGCTCTCTGCCAATCCCTAGGTACCTTACCCTCTTCCATACATTTTTTAAAATAATTGCACCAACCACTCCAAAACTATATCCCCCCCTGCTTTTAACATTCTATCTTTATCCCATCAATCCCGGCTGCCTTACCCCCTTTCATTTTACCTACTGCCTCACGAACTTCCCCCACACCCCAAAACCTGGCTCTTCCTCACTTACAAGATGTTTTCTCCTTGCCCTATACACGAAATCACAGCTTCCCTATCTTCATTTAACATTTAACAATTCCTCCAAAATATTCCTTCCATCTTCCCCAAAACCTTACCTCTCCATTTAATAACTCTCCTCTCTATTTTTAACTGACAAATCCATTTGTTCTCTAGGCTTTCTTAAAATTGTTAAACTCACTCCAAAACTTTTTCTTTTTCAACAAAATTTGTTGATAACATCTCACCCACTCTCTCATTTGTCTCTTTTTACATTGCCCTTTACCTCTCTTAACTTCTCCCCTTTTTTTTCCATATACTCTTCCTCCTTGCATCACTTCTACTTTGTAAAAACTTCTCATATGCTAACTTTTCTCCCTTTCTACTCTTTTACATCATCATTCCACCAAACGCTCCTCTTCCCTCCTGCACCCACTTTCCTGTAACCACAAACTTCTGCTGAACACTCAACAAATACATTTTTAAACCTACCCCATACTCTTCGACCCCATTGCCTATGCTCTCATTAGCCCCTCTATCCTCCAATAAACTGTTTTCTTACCCTAACTGCCTCCTCTTTTAGTTTATAACCTTCACCCCTCTCTTCCCTGATGCTTCTATTCTCCTTGTATCCCATCTACCTTTTACTCTCAGTTAGCTACAACTAGAAAAATGTCTGATATAAACTGTGGCCACTCTATACTCATGTACATCCTGAAGTCTACTCAACAGTTCTTTTTATTACCAATACATAATTCCAAACAAACTACTGTCATTTGCCCCTACATCATATTGTGTATACTTAATTTA